TGTACAAGAAGATATTTGGAGACAAAAAAAAAAGGAAAAAGCACTGTAAAAATATCCTGTCTCATAGACGGGGAGGGAAGAGCGAAAATAAATGTCTAGAAAGGAAAGTCTCTTCTTCCTCCAAACTTAATATGACTACAGAGAGGGAAAATATTGAACGCAGAAGATGGAGCGGTTTCTACTTTTAAATTGTCTTTGTTTGTGTGTGTGTGTGTGTGTGTGTGTGTGTGAGACAGATTGGTAGACAGTTGAAGGCACTTGTGGTTGTGGTTGGTAGGGCGTTGGGTCGTGGTTTAGGCGAGGGTACTGTACATGTGTGTGTGTGTGTGTGAGTTTGAGTGTATGTGTGGACTGTTGTGGTTGTGGTAATTGTCTCTGATGCGAGGCAGCATTTATGGGTAACGACCCACCCCTCTCTCACCCTCTCTCTCCATCCAGTGACTAATTACCTGATTCCCCACGGATTTGTTTCCTCCTTCCCCTACAACTGTTCGGGTTGTTCCACTAAATGAGAGCGTGCTGATAAGTGGAAATACATCCAAACTGAGCCAAAGTGAGCCGGGTGTGTTCGCTAAACACTGTAACAGGACGAGACTCCACATCTGAGCTGGCTTCCTGCCCTGTCTGAGAAGCAACACCAGGTTTTTACTTCTAGTCCCAAACGGCAGTGTTTTGAAAAATCGTGGAAGAAGTAGATTTTATATTTAAGTAAAAGTAGCAATGCTTTTCAGGAATTTCTTTCTGTAGTGCCGGTCATCAAATTAAAAGCAGACATTTTTTTTCATATATGTGTAAAGAAAAGCTACATTTGTCATTATCAGCGTGTTTGACTGCACCTCTACTCTTTCCTTATTTAAACAATCACTACCATACTTCTTCTGTGGTGTTGTTTGCTCATTGGTACCCCAGTAAACCCCCTCTCCTGTTACATTTTATCAGGAGCCCCTCTCTAACCTCCCGCCTCTCTGTCTCTCAGGTGCTTCCTTCATGGGTTCCTTCCTGGCCAGCAGTCTGGGGTCGCCGGCCTCCCACCCTCCTCACCCCTCGGGACCCGCTGCCTCCCCTTCCTCCCCCTCCTACAGGCATGGACCCCATTCCAGCGCTTCCCCTATCTGGTTCCCTCATTCACATGAAGGTAAGAGACACACACACACACACACACACACACACACACACACACACACACACACACACACACACACACACACACACACACACACACACACACACACACACACACACACACACACACACACACACAGCACAGCGCAGCGCAGAGTGCTCGGGTCTCCGGTTAATCCAGGGTCTTGGCTTGGGATTAGATCGAGATGGAGCCATTAAGTGGTTTAACCAACACTGAGCTGAGGCCAAACACGCGCAGCGCTGACGCCTCAGATGATGCTACTTATAGAAATACACACACACACACACACACACACACACACACACACACACACACACACACACACACACACACACACACGACTCTCCTCTGGCTATACGTCGGCAAGCATGTGTCTTTGTGTCTGTGGCCGTTTTCTAGTTCAGAGCTTCAGCACGCTTTTATAAAAATGGTGCACACGCGAACACTTCCTCTTCCTCTTGCCACATAAACACACAAACAAACACACACACCTTTATGTCCTATAAATAACATTAGTAAACAGTATTTCACAATACGCTTCAGCCTCCTTTCACTCACTCATCTCCAGCCTTCTCTTCCCTTTTAGGGGTGAGTTTTAGGTTTCATGAGCCCCTACACTTCCCCCTCACACACACACACTGAAACTTACCCCCATTTCCACCATCCTCTCCCTCTTCACAGCCCCCTCCCCCTGCGACCGCAACCCCACCCTCAGGGCCCCTTCTGGGCTAACCAACCTCCAACGGCCACCTTCCTGATCAGACACACACACGCACACACACCAAAAAACTGTGCGCATCCACATACATCATGTCGACTGTTAACCGTTTGTGGTCAAAGAATGACTTAGTTATCTGTCACTTTCAGGTATGTGTGTGTGCTTACGTGTGTGCTTGTGTGTGTGTGTGTGTGTGTGTGTGTGTGTATGTGTGTGTAAGAGGATTTGACAGCAAGATGGGTCCAAACAGATAACCTAAAAAAAGAGAGGCTTCAACAGAAAGACAGCTTCCGCCACAGGCTGTGTTTCTCAACTAACGGTGAAAACAGTCAGAATCCGTATTTCACGTTTCGCCAGTTTTTCACAAATTGGAGCAAGTAAGCGATAACAACCTGTGTTGTCGCCTTTGGGAAAGTATTTGACATCTCCAAACCCGAGAATTAAATGGAAACCAGTCATCTTTTCGGGGCGGACGTTAACTTTTGTTTTTCTTGGATGTCATTCAAACCCTTTAACCGGCACCCTGCACTTTGACATGTCAGAGAGAGTTAAATCACAGATGTAATCAATAACAATAATTAGGACTGCATTCCTTTCAGGTGAGCCACTTCCTGGTATTGTGCACGCTCTCTCGTTAA